AGACAATACATCCCTCTGTTCTATGATCCAGGTACTTCTGCCCATGAAGCTTTGTGACTACAACATAAGAGAAAGGCTTGGGATTTCTTAAGCCAAAGGGGAACAGGTGTGAACCCACATCCGTTGAATGTCACACATACTGATTAGTTCTTCTGAAAGCCCATGGTACTTTAAATATTAATTCAAAACCCGTAATTTTTCAGTCTTCCTTGTTCATTGTCCAAATATGCGATGCACATAATGCATTTAAAAATACTACAAATTGGTTGGGTGCACTTTCATACGCAAAGAAATCAAATTTTCACTTTAACCTTAAAAAGATTAGAACAGGGGGGTGGGGGGAAGGGACGTGGGAATTGTATACTAATGAAGGCATTTTTTTTCTTTTTTTCTCTCTTCGGAGGGGGAAGCGAGCTGGTGGGGAGGGGTGGGAAGGGAGAAAATTGCGGCAATGAATGAATGGAAATCCAAAACCTCTGTAAAAAAAAATATAAATAAAAAATAAAAAATTTAATAAAAAAATATTAGAACAGAATACATGTGTTTATCTAATTCATGAATGATGATGTCTTCATGCCACTGATTGTGTATCCAAGTATAATAATATAACTGAAAGTCATCTTTGCTGACTTCCATGTTTCCCAGTAAGGACACATATGGCTTTCTCATTTCCATAATTATCATTAAAAATCCAAGTTATCATTGAAAACCCCCAAAAGTTGGTGTTAGGATCCAAGATGGCGGCAGAGGCGGAGACAACGTGGTGAGCTGTGGGAACAGACCTCTACAGACTTCTTTTACTGGTAACAGTTAAACAGCTGATGACTGGTCTTCAGTGAAGACTGAGGTTCAACAACAGGAATTCAAGGATTCCCAAGGAGGAATTGATGAGTCCCGCAGCTCCCAACCCCTCCCGCAGAGCCCACACCATGCCGCACCACTGCAGCAGCTCCACGAGGCTCCCACAGCTGGAACCTATGGATTCCCTCACCCAAGATGGGATGGTAGGCACCAGGCCTCCCCAAGATTGGTACAGCAGAGCCGCCACACTGCCGCAAAGTGGATTTGTTCTTGTGAGAATTCTTGGAGCCAAGATGGCGGCAGGAGGGGAAGCGGGCGGCCACTGGCCTCCTGCACTTGAAATGAAGCATGCCTGCCAGCCACCCATGCAGATGGCAGCCCAGGTCCGCCAGCTGCCTGCACGGGAGGTGTGCACCCCGCCGCCTGCAGGTTTGGGTTTCCTTGGACAGCCAGAGAAGATGATCACCGATAAAATGGATGTCTGAAAGTCACTGGGAGTTGTCTACTTGATGACACTTAACAGTGGCAGCATGTTCAAGAGGACCGACATCCTAAATGCACCACATATTTTGATCTGTTGAATGCTTCTGCCAAAAGCTGTTTAGACCTGGGGGGAGCCTGTTCACAATTCTCAGGTTCTCTTTGCCATTTATAAAGGGGGAGGGCAGTGACACCTACTTCAAATTATAGTATGACCACTTATGGGGGGAAGTAAAAGTGGAGGTGCTGGAATTGGAGACACTGTCTCTGGCCACATAGTCCTCGGTCAGGCGAGGGGACCAGATTGGGGTGGAGCCAATTAAGAGGGGGAGTGTACCAGCCAGCGAATGGGGGGTATTGCCCTGCTCGGGACAGGCTGTCTTCGGCCCCCAGCCTGGGGTGAGCCAACACGGCCCTCTGCCTGAAGCGGGCTGTCTTTGGCCCTCGGCTCAGAGTGAGCTGTCATGGCCCTCAGGGTGAGCTTCTCAGTCCCCAGATTGTGCCATCTGATCCCTGGGTGGGGGAAAAAAATGCCTACGGTATCCAGAGAATTTTATCTAGGCTAGTTTTCGCCACCCTCTCCCCCAGTAAACCTGAAAGC